CTCTCTCTCTCTCTCTCTCTCTCTCTCTCTCTCTCTCTCTCTCTCTCTCTCTCTCTCTCTCTCTCTCACACACACACACACACACACACACACCAGGTCGTGGCCTCGTGCGCGGCGGCCGAATGTGTATTCCAGAGCGACAGTTGGCTTTGGGGCCACTTCCCGGTCCAGAAACCGCAGGATCATTGTGCTCTTGCCCTACCATTTGCAGTTTGAATGAAAACTGGTGAGCGAGCAGCGCGATGCAACAGACAGACAGACAGACAGACAGACTGACTGAGAGAGAGAGAGCGACATGCAGACAGTTGTGTGGTGCGTGCATGCGTGTGACGGTGCTATGATAGTTGGTCACAGTGCAGTAGTGTTGATGAATGGACCAGATGCATGGCCACAACATACCCCTGATTGGCTGCCCACGAAGAGCACAGTGCGTTCCTCTGCAACCAAATGAATGGTGGCAGGCAACGTGAGCGCACACAATAGCTAAAACAGATGCAACCACTTGCGCACACACACACACACACAAAAGCACGCACACACACACACACACACACAAAGCACGCACACACACACACACACACGCACACACACATGCACACACACACACAAAACGCACGCACGCACACACACACACGCACCTGCATCTTTTGCCTTTTCACGCGCAGCTTGGTGCTGCGCAATCTTCCACAAATCCTTTGCAGACGAGGACGCCGACGACGATTGTGTTGCGGTGCCTGTGCTGGATGACGAGCTCTTGCTCTTCCTCTGTTGCCTTTGTTGTTGTTGTGGCTGTTGATCCGGCCGTGCCGGCAATCGTCTTGCAAGCACGCACATCAACAAAACACAAGGAGCAACTGCGTGAGTCCAGTACTTGCTCACTGCATGTCCTGCAGAGAGAGAGAGAGCCAGGCAGAGAGACAGAGAGAGACAGAGAGAGGCAGAGAGAGGCAGAGAGAGGCAGAGAGAGGCAGAGAGAGACAGAGAGAGGCACACACACACACAGACACACACACACAGACACACACACACAGACACACACACACACACCTCTGTGCGCTGGTTGGTCGGTCAGTCATCTTCCTGCTGGCTTCACTTCTTGTTTGCTTGCTTGTGTGTTTCGCCTGGTAACCGCCGCCGTGTATGATTTGGATGTTTTTCTGTGTCGCATTGTCGCAGTGTCGCCTACTGTCGCAAACGCGCCAACCGCAACACGTTCACGTTCAGACGCAAGATGAGCAGTGTGGACAGTGCGATGGCGCTGAGCCTCTTCAAGCGCGCCCTCAAGGCAAACCCGTGAGTACATATTAGGATGCGTGACATGATGCTCTTGCACAGGAACAGCACGCAGCTGTTGTCACCTTGTGCGTAACCACACACCTCTTCCATTCGTGTGTCACTGCGTTCCATCACAGGTCTGCGACAGTGAAGGAGCTGCGGCACATTTACTGCAAGGATGTTGGGTGAGTGTGTTCGTGTGAGTGTGTTCGTGTGTGCGCGCGCGCCATATCCCGTGTCTCCTGTTTTGCTTGTCTCGCTTGCGCAGCAACCTCTGTCTCAACGCTTTTTCTTGTACGCACTGCAGGCAGGATGAGGGATCTTTGTCGCCACAAGTGCGCAAGGAACTCAAGACGCTGATGATTGAGGCCGCGTCCGCAATGGAGGACGAGCAAGAAGGTGGCCAGGAGGAAGAGCACGCGGACGCAAAACAAGGCGATGATGGCGAGGAGCATGACGGAGATGCAGGCAGTGAGAAGAACGGGGCAGGCCAACAGAGAGACGTGTCACCGTCCCCACCGGATTCGCCAGTGACGAAGCAGAAGCCGCAGACAAAGGGCAAGGCTGAGGTGGACCTGAGCGATTCCGACTTTGACAGTGACCAACCCGAGGAGGAGGAGGAGACGCGCAGTCGCAGGCGCAGCAGCGCGAAGGCCAAGAAGCAGCCAGCCGTCAAAGCAGCAAAGACATCAGCGGCCAAGAAGACCCGCCACATCGACAGCGACAGCGACGGCGCTGGAAGTGGTGAAGATGATGATGATGATGGTGAGAGGAAGGAGAGTGACAGTGATAGCGATGACGAAGAAGACACGCCATCCTCGTCCTCAAAGACAAAGACCAAGAAGCAGAAGACCAAGCAGTCTGCCAAGAGCGAGTCTGACGCGGTGAAATCGTATCGCAAGATGGTCTGGAAGTGTGGTATTCGTCCAAAGTACAGCCAGCTCTTCACGCCAGGTGTGTGTGTGTGTGAAAGTGAGTGTGTGTGTGTGTGATTGTGTGTGAGAGTGTGTGTGTGATTGTGTGTTTGAGTGTGTGTATGTGTGTGTGAAGGTGAGTGGGTGTACACTTGTGTGTGCAAGTGCGCGCACAATTTGAGCTGACGGCTGGTGTTCCTGCCGCTTTGTCGTGCCACTCCACCTCAATCATCACCCTTATTGCCTGCAGGCATGAGTGACGGTCGCAAGGTGTCGAAGCTGCGCAAACTCATCAAGGAGTTCTTTGACAAGATTGGTTTCAAGGGCAACATCACGCTGTCAAACTGCGAGGTGGCGTCTGCTTGTGTGGGGGCGGGGACCTGTTGTGCGTCTTGCTGACTTGTGTACGTGCTCGCTGACACTTGCGAGCTCGCTTACACTTGCGAGCTCGCTTACACACACACACACACACTTACTAACACACACACACACACACACACACACACACATACTAACACACACACACACACTTACTAACACACACACACACACAGCGGGCCAAGGAGCGCTACGATGAGCAGCGCGAGCTGGACGAGCTCGACGTATCCAACATCATCCAAGATGAGGGCGGGCGGCGGCCGCGGCGGGCAGCGAGCAGAGCAGCCCGCAAAAACGTGCAGCAGACATTGCGCCAACAGGAGGCGTATTTCGACGACGAGGAGGAGGAGGAGGAGGACAGGGTGGCGTGGTCGGGCCGCCGTGGTGGTCGCAGGGGGAAGAAGGCCAAGAGTGGCGATGGTGATGGTGATGGTAGCAGTGGTGGTGATAGCGACGATGATGGTGGGAGTGAGGAGGGGGTGGAGAGTGATGATGAGGAGGAAGAGGAAAAGAAGGGCAAGAAGGCAAAGAGTAAGAAAGCAGCGGTGGACAGGCGAACGAAGAAGATGGTGGCGGCTGTGAGTGGCAGTGACAGCGACAGCGACGATGGTGTTGAGCAGGGCGAAGCACAGAAGAAGCGAGGCGCCAAAACAAATGGTGCTGGTGCTGGTGACGGTGAGGAGGAGGAGGAGGGTGAGTCGCCCACGAAGCGAGCCAAGACGACGCCTGGGGTGCGACGCATGCTGGAGAGCAGCGAAGATGAAGACGAAGACGAAGATGAAGATGAAGACGAAGATGAAGATGAAGATGAGAAGGAGGTGGAGGAGGGGAAGGAGAAGGCCAAGAAGAAGGAGGAGGAGGAACAAGAGAAGGGAGGCAGCGATGATGATGGTGATGAAGAGGAGGACGAGTATGAAGCGGTGGAAGAGGAGGAAGACAGTGACGATGAGGGCGATGACAGCGACTTTGACCCAGCGGAGTATGAGTAAACGAACGCACATGGGGCGGGGAATGTAACAAAGAGAAGACAGAGAAGAGGGGGGGGGGTGGTGGAAGAGAAGGAAGAGGGTAGGCGCAGGAAAACACACACACACACACACACACACACACACACACACACACACACACACACACACACACACACACACACACACAGGGTGTCACACTCGGAGAGGGTCACACTGAGAACGTGGGTGAAGTTTGTTTTTCTTTTTTTGCTTCGGGTTTTCTCTTTGTTTTGGACATACACAGAAGAGAAGGGGAGTTGAGGGTTTGGTGTGTACTTCGTTTGGTGTGGGTGGCCCCTCCGTGGGACTTTAAGTTTCCCTTTGTTGGGGTGATGTACCTTGTTTGTGTGGGGGGGGTACCG